AGAGATAATGCATTGACAGACAGTACTATTTCTTAGTATTCACTTACTGACTCTAATTCTCCCAATTCTTTACCTTAACGTACACTCGGGAATTGAGTCTAAGCAACGATGACAACGCATGCTAAAAACGCAAAAGTCGTGATTTTTTTTCAACTGACGTGGGCGGTCAGGCACTGGCAGAGTTTCGTGCAGATTTTCGATTCATGTGTATAGAAGTGACGACGTGCCTTTGTCGACGCAACACAGATAAACGTCGTGATTTGTCAATGCGTTCTATTTAACGATCACATGGTTGTTCAGTTTAGAACCCCCCCCCCCCAACAAAGCCGGGCGATGCAACTTTCTGGAGCGCAACGCTATGTTACGCGGTATGTGCCAATAGAGGCGCGATCTCACATTGGCGATGTGCTAGCGTTGTCAGTATGGCGACAATTACCGTTACTAAACTATTGAACATTTCTCGTAAACTGCTCGGACGAAAACGATTTTTTAATGTATGGATCAATGCAAAATCGAACTGTAATTAATTATTAGGGCTAAAGTACGTATCTACCTTAATATGGATCAGCGATGCCTTCTTTCTCAGCAAAAGTCACACGCGTTTTATCTAAAGTCTATATTAGACATTATTGCTAAAATTCAGTATAGTGAAAACAAAATGTAAGCCAAAATCGTTTTAAAATATCTCTGATCAAGTGATACTGTGAAGACAATTGTTCAGAGCACCAGAAGTTAGATGAGAATGTCAATGTAATGCCATCCTTTTGAATTCGGATAACGTCTACCAGCTGATGATAAAATTGATATCAAGCCGAACTCTCGTGGTAGTTATTGCTTACTCGCAGTCCTTCCCAGTGATTTAATTTTCACTTTAAAACTCCGCGTCATAGTGATACCAACGGTTGCAACAGGAGTATAGTGACAAATGGATGTGTAAATGTGAAGTATGTGGAAAGTTTTTATCATTTAAAAATGAATCGGTAATTGGGAACAGCGTTAATGTATCCTGGTTCTACAGAGACTAAACAATACACAAACGGATTGCATTAACCATGGCACAACTGAATCACATAGGGATTTCTGCTGTGGTCGCCATCTGCGTTGCTCTAATAATCAGCCACTACAACTGTTACAGTCAAAAAACAAGCTTATTACTCAAGTATTACCAGTAGTTAGCCAATCAAAAAACTGCGTACCCCAAGGAGATTTCCTATGAGCTAGCGTGGACAATACAGTATAATCAGATGCTTCGTTCACTCCAGCAGCACAATGAAAACAGTCTCACAGGTGAGTGTGGTCGGTATATGTGTAATTACAGACATAAGTACGATAAACTGATTATTATGTATTTAATCGAATACATCGCAGTAAAGCCACAGTTTTGTACATTTGAAGTGAGTAACCTTATTGCTAGATGTATTACTTTTACGACAGGGTAGCTAAAATAATCACAGTATATGATATTAAGTTCTTCAAACCATACTATTTATTTTAAACTTTTAAAAAAATTCTAATCACAGTGAGTACTTTCTCGCAAACAGAACCAATGCATATACACTAACAATGTTACGAACACGAACAATGATATTAATATTATGGTTAAAAAGCATTACATGAATAATTAATACTTAATGTCTGATAACAGTCTATGTACTTAAGTTTGTTTGAGAAATCAAGCTGTTACCATACTCAAATACATGTATAGCAATGTTTTAATCACCACCGCGAAATGTATCCTTTAGTGATTAAATGATTTAGTGATCTTTTAGTGATTAACTAAGACAATGACGATAATATGACAAGAGATAAAATTGATTATTCATGAAGCATATTATATTATGTACATATTTGTTCTAAATCTACATGTTTTTAATATATGATATTACACACGTGTGTTGACGTCATGTAGGTCGATCACACAAATAACAAGGCTTTCAAATTAATATTGCATAAAAGCATTATATTTGTATACTATGTTTTTGTAGTTTTCTTAGCAAATGAATCTCAGTAATATCAATGGCTGACTAGTTTGCATGTTTAACACCTGTAAAATATAAACCTGTAAATTATAATCATATTTGATTTTCATTTCGATAACATTTTTGGACAAAAACGGTTAATACAATTAATTCAGTGTGCCACGTTCACTGACCACACAGAAAAATGTTGATAACTCAGCTATAATGTTTGTTTTTTCTGGGAATGTAACAGCGGAATTTGACTTAAATATTAATATATGACTTAACATACACCATGTACGCAAGTAGCTCTTGCTAATCTCACTGCAATTCTAAGCGGATTAAAATTAGCATTATAAATTCAGATTTTTTCCAGGAATTGCACGAGTTGAAGTACAATGCAAACAACATAATGTAAATATTGCTAAGTTATTATGGTTCTAAATGCATCAAAGAGAGGTAATTTTCGAGTTAAATCACAGTAAACAAAATATTCTCTAAAAAACGTGACTCACTACTTGTTATAAAAATATGGTTAATAAAAAATAGTTCTTGGTACGCTGATGCCAGATTAGTATAGCAATATATAATTTTTCATTCACTGCGAGATCCCGCGTTATGCGTGAAATCGAACGTAAAAACGGGACTGACAACGGCCATAGCGTCGTAGTGGCTGCAAAATCGCGTTGGATTGGACAAAGTATTTTAATGGCAAATTTGAGGAAAGGGTGTTTCATTGCCAAACTCTCCATCTGGGAGATCAGCATTTTGATATTGAACTAAGAAAGAAAATGAATTACATGAAAATCTAAATCGAGCTCGCAAAACGAAAAAACACCAATTACATACGAGTTGACATGAATTTATTTCTGACCTACCACAGGAACCTGTCAGAAGCGCAAACATCATCACTCAATAACTGGTGCTAGGACGTTTTTACATAAATGTATCAAAGAAAGCTTAGAAAGAACTTCCAAGTGTTGAAGGTATTGAGGACATGTAGTACAACTAAGGAATGCTGTATTTACTATATCAGAAACACATCTTCAATACATATGAAGGACCAACTGGCGTTTATTGCATGAAAAATCATTGAGATGTCTTTATTTTGACCATAGACGTGTCTTTATCATTTATATTCACAGTAAACGCGTGTGTTTTTAATAGAGCATATACAGCATTTTAAAATACAACTGCAAGAAATGACCAGGGTAGTTCCAAGTAGTTATGATTTAACAATTATAAATATTTAATGAAATAATGACTCTATATCATGACTTGATATTTTGGTAATATATCTTGTCAGACAATAAAATTATAACACCATTTGCATGTTCCTATCTGCAACAGTATTACAGTTATGTATATACAGGTCACATGACCATATATAGTCATTTGATACATTATTCATATAATATTGTCACGTCATATAACATTCATTATAGCACTGGTTGCATGTCAATATCTACACCAGTGTTTAGTACATTACAATTAGAAGGACACATAAAACTATTTATGCTAAGTAGGTAATCAATATGCATGGATTTCAACCTGAAGTAATCAGATATTTTGATTATCCATTAGCACCTATGTACATAGTTTCATTAAAACTTGATGAGTAGTTATCTGTACTGAAGCACCTATAAATCCATGTTCTTCGCGCCATAGTGTATCAGCTAATTTGCATTATTCTATAATATATTAACCACCTTTGTTGTATTCATTAATTTATCTGTGAAGCATCTATAATTGATCTACATTTATGTACCAACTCACATTGAATCTGATGAGTGGTTAGGTGGTGGAAAAGCTAAATATTTGCTAGATAATATGCAAATTAGGTCATTAAAATGCATGTGTTTCAACCTCAAACTAATCAAGCCCGCACATTATCTATGTATCAAACACCTAGTATGAAGTTGTGTTGACATATGTTGAATGGTTCCTAAGAAAAGAGTGAGAAGGCTTAAAATTGCTAATTAAAATGTAAATTATGTCAATAATATGCACGAGAGTTCAACCAAAAACTAATCAGGTCTCTGCATCTACGTACCAAGTTTCATTGAAATATGTTGAATAGTACATGAGAAACAAATACAAAAGCTTAATTAATAAGCAAATCAGGTAACTAATACGCATGGATTTCAAACAAAACTAATCACTTCTGAGTATTATCCCAGAGCATCCGTGTACAAAGTTTCAATAAAATCTAATATTTGGGTTTAGAGACATTAGTGGAAAAAGATGCACTTACCGAAATCATTTGCAAATGCTTCTCACACGGGAGTCAAAATGATGTTGTGCACACATTTGTTCATTAATAATGAAATAAAAACATTTTCCTTTACACTGAAAACATGATACATACGCAATAATATAGCAACATATAGCTGTCACGCAGCGCGGGTTCATATTTCGTTATATACGTAGCATGGGACCCACGGCGCAGCGTGACGCTCTGATACTTCAAATGAGCAGCATTTAGTTACAAGAGTTAAAGTATTTTGAAACATTATCGTATTGCAGACTGTATACAGGTGGTTTACATCTCATCTTGGTATGCCAACATTGTACGTACTGTTCACATTGCCCACAGTGATATGCATCGCGTATTGTGCTATTCCAAACCACGTGATCAAACACTGCGGGACAGCGGCAACACCATATACGAAAAAATCAGTCGTGGATGTCAATTATACTCATATTATCACGTCCACGGACGCCAAATACATTCCAGGTAAGGTTCTACGACACTTCCGGGTAGTAACTTGAACAAAGTTCATAAATGGCACAAACTCACACAACAAAGTATTTGCGTCGCAGTTCCAAAATTTTAAGAACAGGGTTGGCATATGACAGCAGACTCACATGATGTTCACAATAAATCATGAGACGAACATATATTATTAGAAATTCCAAAGACACTAGAGAATGTACAGGACAGGTAACTGCGGTATTTTCCTTGATGTAACGTCTCACTTTGAAATGTGTTTTTAAACAAAATTGCGTTCAAATATTTCAAGACAAGTAACATTTATTACGTTTTTGTATGAAAGAATTTTGAAACCACTAATTGGTTCGGAGAGGGAATTTTATACATCGTGTATTTTTAAAAATGGGTTACATAAACAGCTTGGTGTTGTCAGTACATTGTCTTTTTCACTCGATGCAAGTAAACGATATCTTTCAAGTTGTTCACAAAATAAGTCTACGTCACAGTATATGAATATTGGTACCTAAACTAATTTTGTTGAACATATTTGATACAGCATGTTTTTAAAAATGGGTTATATAATGTATGATATGGCGGTAGTGAACTTGTTTCTCGGACCCAGACGTGTACGTAGAATGTGACGCACCGATATACATTGGAAATACTAAAACTGAATGTGAGGTTATTTAAGGTTATTTTTCCTAGTACCATTCCGTGTCCCATGAACGTTTTGAGACCCGTGGAACTCGGAAATATAAATTCGACAGTACAGTGCTTTCAGAAAAGCCGTTCCCACATTATATAATTACGTTATACAAATTTGTTGCAACGTTTCATTAAAATCCAATGCGGCAACTGAATTAGCTCAAGTAATTCAGGTAGTGGTCTATGATGTGCACAGAGCCAATCGAGTTTTTGTCGATAAGCCTATGTCAATTGATTGATTTCCGCTGTACATGTCGGATGTTTATGAAAAGCACTGTACGCCAGTTTTCATCACGATATTTAAAATGTGAACAGTCTTATCCACACATCATCATATAGAGTCATGGAAATTGTATAACCTTTAGCATTAATTTGGCGATTTTTAAAAATGTGCGGGATTCGTTTTAATGTTCCCTCTTACCATATTTTAATATTTCCTACGTTGACAACAGGCGTTGCTACTCTCATCAATTCAATACAACAATCGAGCGAAGACCCCAAAAAGGTTAAAATTCACGTATTAGTTTGTGGCAAAGGAAGTGACGTCACAGCATTGCGTGAATATCTACAGTGCTATGGGATTAATGAGACGCATTTGGTGAGTATTGCGACATGAAATATTTAAATGGCTTTTGCTTCAAAAATAAACTTTATTAAAGCGGGAGGGTCGTCACCAACGCACGCGCGGGAATTGAGTCCCAAGCGACGATAACAACACACGCTAAAAACGCAAAGGCTCATGGGTAGAAGCTTGTTTGTAAACAATGACATGCTATGGCCATCTGACGCATGCGCAGGTGACGACTCCCCCGCTTTAAATGTTATCTGAGACCACGGTTCTTTTTTAGTGACCGTGCTGAGACGTAGCTTAGTATATACTTCAGACACACATGTGTTCGATGCTATCCCACTGTCCAACACTGACGAGGCTCTCACCTCCAATCATTTTGGCTTTCACCACTGCCTGAGTAATCAAAGACGATTCGTTTCTAACATTAATTTTGAAATCATTTATGTTATTGTAAATAAACTTCGAACATTCGTTATCACACGCATTTCCAATATTACCTGCCTCCTGATCCTCGTGAATTCGCGATATTAGAGTGGGCAGTTTTTATCTAGTGAAACTGACTTATACTTGGAAACACTGGAGGTTGCTTCAGCCAACCTTGCTCATATAAACGTAGCTCCACTTCGGAAAAAAGTCACACAATTTCCGTTGCATGCTTTCATATTTATGAACATCAGATCGTTATGTATTAGAGTACAGGAGCCAATCATTCACTCTGTCTTTTATGCAAACTAGAACATGCGAGAATGAGTGAAATACACAAATTGCGATGGGCGAAAGATCTTTAGTAAAAAACTAATGATAAAAGTGAAAAATTCCGCCACGAGGAGCAAAGTGAACTCGGACTGCAATGGATCCGCCTGCCTCTGATTAGTTTTCTCAGAAAGTAAAATTAATTTAAAACAAGTTTCAAAAGTTACCAGTTTAGTCTCAATATTTTCTAATCGTGGGGACTGTGTATATTTAACACAGATGGCACAAGTTAACCTCGACTGACATGTAGGCGTGAGTAGCGCCCTCGCAGGCCGAACGGCATCAGACCTCACTGTATTGGGTTTGAAGCACCGTTGAGGGCGCAACTCACGCGACCTTCTCAAGCTATATTTAAACCTGGTGGATCAATTGGAACCTTACATCTAATTCAATTTATTGATGTCCTAGTATAGTATATATAATTAATAATATTTTTTTATGCTAAGATTGAACTTGTTCATTTTGATGCATCGTTTTTGGGAGAAGATTTAAAGAAGGCCTGGCAAAGAAGTTTTTCAATAAAGCGACTGACAAGTGATTGCAACTATGCACGAACGTATCTGTATAGGTAAGTACTGTAGAATACTTTATTTTTGCTTGAAATTAATTTTCGCTATTTTCGCTGAAGGAATGGTTCAGTGAAAATAAAAACCAGCGAATATACATTTTCCCCTATATTTTACATTCCACTTGTCAGAAAGCGGTGAAAATAAATTCCATTGAAAACACCTAAATGACAGTTGAAAACTATTGACCAATCACAACGCCTAAGCGAAATCATATGATATATTTCGCGTGCATGGTAGTTAATCGACCAATTATTAACGAAAACCCACAATTGTCGTAGATAATGAATGGACTTACGAATTCTATGATTAATGAAATCGTCTATGGGTTTGAATGAGGCGCAAATATTTCTGGGGTAAATAGTAATTGTTTGATAAATATTTCTATGCTTTTATGAAATCGATTGTATCATCATTGGATAAAATATTTATTCTACGACCAGGAAATTTCCAGCATCTGACGAGATCTCGCGTTTCGAATCACCTGAACATGAACATGAAGAACATTTTGCAGAGCTACCATGGCGAGCGAGCTTATTCAAGTTTTTTTCCAACGTTTTTACTTTTTATGTGTACATGTCTGACATTGATACGTTTTTGAGCTGAAAAAAGTTGTAAGAAAATTTATAGCTTAAGAATTATCAACACTATTTACTACCAGTAATCTAAAATGACAAGACGTGCAATTGTTTCCAATCAATAAAATTATTCACGGCGATTTTACCATATTAAATTTGAAATAACCACCAATATGTGACCATAAAAGTATATGTAAATACAGCCTTAAAACAAAATATGACCCTTTTGCAATTTCCTTTTTGTAAGCTAAAACATACCGAACATTAATAAGTTGTCCTTTCCTTTTGGTTAATTTACAATTAAAGATGACAAATAAAATATAATATGTGTTTTTTCGGTGTACATGCATAGATGTGTAAATAAATATTTTTTTCAAGTTAAGTTCCAAGAAAAGTATTCCAATCGATTTAGCATTGAGTCGTTTTGTTAGATTAGTTTTCGAGAAAATCTTATGAGTTTTCGTAAAGACATGTGCTGCCTTGGCAACGCGCGGGAAGCGCTAATATGAAATTGCGCCCTCTGTCGGTAAATAGCACTCAGTGATTCATAGCCAGTCGCATAAGCGCACCAGAAATGTAGGACTTAAACTACAATCCGGGCTAAAATCGGAATATATAACAAGATACGCTGGGATAACATCAACAATATATCGATCTACATTAAACGCATTATTAAAGCTAAACTGAGTAACAGTGTGGGATACAAAATGTCGAATACATGTGTGGAATCACTTGAGATATTACAAAGCGCTGGAAATGGTCGGGGAAATGGTTTATTAACAGTGCTATTATTAAGTTAAGGGGTGGTCGTCGTGCTACGTCGTGGTCGCGAATTTTACTCAATCGCGTGCATACATATTCTTATATATTATCTACTTTTAAATTGTCACAGACTATTTCCTGATTTGTCCAGAGCTATCTTCTTGGACGCTGACGTGGTTGTTAAGCAACCAATTGAGATACTTTGGAGAACTACACTTGCACACCAGGCGCCATTATTTGCTGTGCCAATCAGTAGAACATATATTGATGACGACTTTCTGACTGATGTCGTCTCACCTTTATATGCACAAAGGTTAGTTTACATTTTGTATTTTCTTGTGTCTTTGTTTACCAAACATTATGAACAACCTTTTATACATTTTGAATTGTGCCATTTAGGACTATGAAATGTACCAGCGGTGGTGGCACGGGTGTGGGGGGGGGGCAGAGGG